AACCTGTAGAGAAAAGAATGGTGATCACGGTGATATAAAAATTGCATTGAACGGAGGCCGGGAAGGACCTCGTCGGAGGCAAAAACCGAGAGGGGCGCGGCGGCGCCGCTGGGTTTCGGCCGCGTATTCCAGCTGTTTGGCCGGGATTTCGGCCTCAATTTGGCCATAGGAGGAATCAGCGGAGAAAAACGAGTCGGGGTATGAAATTTACCTCGATCGGCGGTCGAAAATTTCCCCGGTGCGGCGGCGGGTGGCGGCGGTCGGCCTCTGGTTCTTCTTCTCCGGCGAGCGGCGGGCGGCTAGGGTTTGTGGTCGGGTGGTGGGGGTTCTATTTATAACCCCTTGCCTTTTGATCACAGCCGTTCATTTCGTTTTAATCTGAGCCGTTCGTTTTTGATTGAATCTGGGCCGTCCGTGCGATTGAATCTGGGTCGTCCGATCGCTCGATCGATCTGGGCCGTCGGATCGCACCCACGCGGATCGCCAACGTGGCTCCTTTTGGAGTGACGCGGTCTTGCCACGTGGCAGGCCCCGGTTGGCCGGGATTGCTGACCGGGCCTGCTGACGTGGCTGCTGACGTGGCCCCCCCTTTTTTTTTCCCTCCTTTCCGGGTGCTACAACTCTCCCCCCCATAAAGAAATTTGGTCCCCAAATTTGCCTCATTACTCTTGATCAAACAGATGAGGATATTGGGCCCTAAATTCTGATTCCAGCTCCCAAGTCGCCTCCCTAGGCGTGTGGTTCTGCCACAAGACTTTTACAAATGATATTTCCCGGTTACGGAGTATTCTGCTTTCTCGGTCCGTGATATTGACCGGTACTTCTTCATAAGACAAGTCCTCTCGGAGTGAAAGCGGTTCATGAGCCACGACATGAGAAGGGTCCGGATTGTACTTGCGCAGCATAGATACATGAAACACATTGTGAACCCGGGAGAGCTCAGGGGGCAGTGCAAGTTTGTAGGCAGTGGTACCAATCTTGTCTAAGATTTCAAAGGGTCCAATGTATCTGGGGTTTAATTTTCCCCTTCTGCCGAACCTACTAATTCCCTTGAAGGGGGTGACTTTAAGAAACACCCGGTCACCTTTCTCAAAGGCCAGGTCTCTCCTCCGGGTATCAGCATAGCTCTTCTGCCTACTCTGAGCTGTCTGGATGTTCTTCTTGATCTTAACTATCTTGGACGTGGTTTCTTCCACCAAATCCGGGCCAAACAATCTTCTATCGCCCACTTCCTCCCAACAAATCGGTGACCTGCACGGACGCCCGTATAGCGCCTCGTATGGGGCCATGCCAATGCTTGCTTGGTAATTGTTGTTGTAGGCAAACTCTATCAGGGGTAGATGGTCGTCCCAATGGCCTCCGGAGTCAAGGACACAAGCTCGGAGCATATCCTCCAGCGTACGAATTGTCCTCTCTGATTGTCCATCGGTTTGGGGGTGGAAGGCAGTACTAAGGGACAGCTTTGTTCCCATAGCTTGCTGGAAACTATTCCAGAACCGAGAAGTGAATCTGGGATCCCTGTCGGATACCACTGTTACTGGGACCCCATGCAGTCTGACTATTTCCCGGACATACATTCTTGCCAACTTGTCCAACGAATCAGTCATTCTGATGGCCAGGAAGTGGGAAGACTTAGTGAGTCGGTCAACAATTACCCATATGGCATCGTGTCCCGATCGTGCCTTGGGTAGTCCCGATACGAAGTCCATGGTGATGTGTTCCCACTTCCATTCTGGAATCGGTAAAGGCTGAAGCAACCCCCCTGGGCGTTGATGTTCTGTTTTGACCTGCTGACATACCAAGCACTTAGATACAAAGTCGGCTATATCTCTCTTCATCCCATTCCACCAGAATCGGGGTCGCATAGTTTGGTACATTTTTGTACTTCCTGGATGCATGGCGAACCTTGAACTATGGGACTCTGTCATGATGTCTCTTTTTAATTCATTGTCGTCTGGGACACACATTCTGTCCTTGAAACGAATCAATCCGTCGGCAGAGATCTGAATAACAAAAACAAAAAATCCAACTTAGGATAATCTTAATTCATGCAAAAAGTCCACTAAAGGCTACATGGTGACCATGATTTAATCTTTATTTAAGTCTTCAAAATTTTTACCTATTAATCTTGATTTAAAGTCTAAAACAATCCATGTTTTCCTATTTATTTTACTTATGGACCACAAGTAACACATCATCATTTTTTCAGTTTAACCAACATCAAGATGCCCTCCAACATGTAGATAAAACAATACATGTAAAAAGCACAAAACACTCCCCAGTTACTTCATTTCCACACAACAAGCAACATATTAATTTTTTACCGTAAACCACCAAAAAAGTTCCTAAATTTGGAGACCAAAGACTAAATAAAAGCTAAAAACAGTTCTATTTTCCTCATTAATTTCATTCTAAACAGCATTATTTTCTAGTTTTAACACAAGAAAAAAGAAACTCCTAAATAAACATATCAAAACAGTGGACTTAAAATAAACCATTTTTTTCATTTATTTTATCTTTCCCAACCACCAAGTAGCAGACCAACTTTCTAGTTCAAGCAACACTATATAGCCCCAAACATGATGACTAAATAATAATGCAAAAGCCTAAAAAAATCCCTATTTGTTTATTTCCTGCACAACAAGTAACACTATTTCCTACTTCAAACAATATGCAAACAACCCCTTAGAATATGAAGTAAAAACAAAGAAAGAAAGTAAAGGAAAATACAAAATAGCTCATCAAGCCTTAAAACCCTCCGTTAAATACCCTGCACAGTACCCAAAATGGCCCCCAATTTTACATTCACTTCCTTTGCAAACAATGAGAAAATATCTTATTAAACAATAACTAAATAACCCTAAAAAATGAGCAGACCATAACAGTGTGAAAGAAATAGTAAACTGAGATAAAATACTGTGTGCGGCGTAGAAGCAAGAGATAAAATCATAGAATATTGATAACAAAATAAATCACAAAATATTAATAATAAAATAGGTTAAAATCAAATAAAAAGAGATAAAATACTTATTGATCGAGAAGGTGAAGAACGCAAATAAGAAGTAGAAGCAATGACTCAATGTTTGGAAGCAATCGAATAAGAAGAACAAGCAGAGATCGAACAAGAAGAAAAAGAAGCAGAGCAGTCGCTCTCCCCGTGTGCAGCATGAATGTAGAAAGGAGAAGAGAAATAGAGTGTTTGTTTAGTATATTTTATGAGAGTATAGTGGGAAAAAAATTATCTACCTGTCAAATACTACTGATTCGATAGTTTTTAAAATTCGTCTCAAATTTATCAGTCAAATGCTATCTGCTACCATCTCATCAGGTTAAAATTTAAAACAAACATGATTTTATCACGTCTGTAAAATATCATATATTAATTGACTATCATTTATCACCAAACAAACAGGTTTTAGAAAAATTTATATAAAATATATAATTTAGTTAATACTTAAAAATAATAATAATTATATTGTTAAATTTTTTATAAAAAATTATTTTCAATATTTTAAAAAACAAGCAGAGATCGAACAAGAAGAAAAAGAAGCAGAGCAGTCGTTATCCCTGCGTGCAGCATGAATGTAGAAAGGAGAAGAGAAATAGAGTGTTTGTTTAGCATATTTTATGAGAGTATAGTGGGAAAAAATTTATCTACCTGTCAAATACTACTGATTCGATAGTTTTTAAAATTCGTCTCAAATTTATCAGTCAGATACTGTCTGCTACCATCTCATCAGGTTAAAATTTAAAACAAACATGATTTTATCACGTCTGTAAAATATCATATATTAATTGACTATTATTTATTACCAAACAAACAGGTTTTAGAAAAATTTATATAAAGTATATAATTTAGTTAATACTTAAAAATAATAATAATTATATTGTTAAATTTTTTATAAAAAATTATTTTCAATATTTTAAAAAACAAGCAGAGATCGAACAAGAAGAAAAAGAAGCAGAGCAGTCGTTCTCCCTGTGTGCAGCGTGAATGTAGAAAGGAGAAGAGAAATAGAGTGTTTGTTTAGCATATTTTATGAGAGTATAGTGAAAAAAAAAATTATCTACCTGTCAAATACTACTGATTTGATAGTTTTTAAAATTCGTCACAAATTTATCAGTCAGATACTGTCTGCTACCATCTCATCATATTAAAATTTGAAACAAACAGAATTTTATCACATCTGTAAAATAACATATATTAATTGACTATCATTTATCACCAAACAAACAGGTTTAGAAAAATTTATATAAAGTATATAATTTAGTTAATATTTAAAAATAATAATAATTATATTGTTAAATTTTTTATAAAAAATTATTTTCAATATTTTAAAAAATAATTATCTAATTATGTGTCTTAAACAAAATATTTAAATTAAGTTGATTTTTTATTACTTAAAGTTGTCCAAAATCAATTTATATAACAAGTTATTAATAATGTTAGTATATACTTAAATTAAGATACATATAGGTTTCCGATGTGGGATTTGCACTGCACTTAAAAAGAACTATCAAACTATGTTCCTCTTTGACTGTGGTAATAACATATGGCAAGTTAGCTGCCTGGTTTCTAAGATCTTGGTGCCCAAATGTTTGCTTTCTTCCTTACTAAAAAGGATTTTTCTGAAGTAAAAATGAAAGTTACACTTTAAAGGGTCGTGTTAATTTGAATCTGAGAGAATGCCATGGCATTGCTTAGATCGAAGCCATGGAACATATGACATCGTGCAGAAGTGAATTAGTCTTTTTCAAATTTAATATATATTGGAATTGGAAATTTTTTCTTTTATCTTTAAAAAGAGAACATCATTTGTCCCAAGTAAAATGCTTTTTTTACCTGACAAATTTTGGATAAGATAATATTTAAACTCAGACCATAACAAGGCAATTTGTGAAAGTATGTAAGATTGAAGATTTGACAAAAGTCCAAAGTTAAAAGTGGCTTCAGTACTATCTTACACTGTTAGAACTTGTAGTCTTTATACCGGTAAATCTTGTTAGAAGAGGCAATAAAATTTAATTCAGAATGAAGATTAGCACCACCATAACTTTTATCTTCCATTACAGGTCCACCAGAAGCAATGTCAACCCCAAAGGAAACTTGGGCAAACCTCTCATGCTTTCTATAAACCCAAGACGCTGCAATCTGCAAATCTACCGATAAATTTCTCTTCGATTCCTCTCAAGTGACAAGTTTTCCCACAGAATACCCAGCAAAACCGTATATAATTTCTACAACAGGAGAAACCACATGAATGGGTTAAATACAAAAATGTGGTTATAACCTTACTTATTTTTGCCTTTCGGAACACGTTTTACATGCTTCTGATATTCAGCCAAGCATAGTATTCAGCTGAATTTTCTAAACTCCAGTTACAACTCTTCTCTTCTTCCTACTACTGCACTTTGTACTCTAGTCACCATTTATGCATCTGTGATACTGATTAACAAGTATTACCTTGCAACTTTTTACCTTGGGGTTTCGAAATCTAGCTGCGCCAGCTATTCTGCTTCTTGGCTTCAAAGGCCGCCCCATCATTAAGCATGTCTTGAGCATCAGTTTCCATTCCAAGCTTCGAGAGTGCAAGGGCCTGCAGGTAGAATGCAGTTGGCCACTCTGGTATACACACTTGAGCCTGCATGGCATCCCTCAATGCAAGTTCAGCTTGGCCATTCATCAAATATGAGAAAGCTCTTCTGGCAAATACTGTTGCCGAGGGGACAGACATCGTGACAACCAACTGTTTCAGAAGAAAAATCCATGAAATTCTGACAATCAATAACTTGCAAAAATGCTTAACAAGCAGAATAAGAGCTAAAAGAGAAACAGCCATGCACTGCAAATTGTTGGAAAATAATATGATATCTTACAAGTTGATTTATGAGAACATATAGGAACTCAGAATTTGAAAGAACTCGATAAATGCTGGTATCAGTTCATTCTAGCATATCTAAGGGGGTAAAACATTAATGCAGCAAATAGGAACATCCTATCACTCATAGATAAAGCCCTTGCACTAATTCTATTCTCAATATGGCTTTTGATTTGTCTTATTTTATTTGGGATAGACATTCAGAAAGAGAGAACCGTTTTCCGGAAGTAACATGACATCAAAACCACTTTTCGGCAGTAAAATGATGTCACTCATAGCATTGGAGGAACAAACATTATGCTCTATTGGAACATGCAAGTGACATCTAGAGCTCATGCCCAAACATTTTTCAAGGGAAAGAACAAAGAACCCATCCCCGAAAACTCCAAAAAGTGCAGATTAAAATTTAATCCCCTTAATCCTTGCAAAGAAAAAGAAAGACTTCTAAATCCCTTGAGTTATGCAAGCCCATAAATGAAATTAATGTTAAGATAATCTAACTAATCAAACTTAATGTTGGAAATAAGTTCTAGCAAATGTTTAAATAATATAAACAAAGCCATAAGCATTTGGACTGATTACTATTCAAAACGCAAGTGCGTAGTTGGCAGAATTACCATAAAAAATCCAGGAGAAGATCACTATCTAATTTTGGATTAACCATGACAGGAATAGGATAAGGGTTTAAGTACCTTTGAATAATATTCAATTGCACTCTTGTAATCTTTGTCCCTGAATGCAATATCCCCAAATTTTTTTGTGTTCAACATATCTTGCACTTGTTGTGTCCATTCTTGAAATGAAAGCTACATGTAGATCTCAAATAATTTACAATTAGATCAGGTAACAAGTCAGAGAGAATAAGGAGAAAGATCAATGGAAGCAGGAATACACTGATTCCCCAAAGAACATCTGTTTTAAGGAAATCATTTAAGACATAGTTAATCATTCCTAAAGAAACTAAATATCTTAATAGTACATAAACGTTATAATTATATAAATATCTCTTGTTATTGAAATATGTCAATTTTAATATCTTCTTATTTGGCATCATTTTACTCTCTTTAGTAAAAACTCAGTGTCAAG